GTATTCAGTTTTCTTCTTGCTTCCTTTAAACTAATGTATCGTTTTTCTTTCAGATATGGAACACAAAACAACACACCTTTGTTCATGATCTCCGAGAGCATACTAAGGTAAATCTGTAAATCCGCAATGTCTCAGAGTTTTCAATAATGTTTTTTGGTTTCTTAATTGCTCGATATTCTACTTCTTCAGGAAATCTATACAATCAGATGGAGCCCTACCGGACCGGGAACTAACAATCCTAACAAACAATTATCTCTTGCAAGGTTAGAAAATGCTTTAAATATGTTATCTTTAAAGAAAGAACAATGTGTCATTGAAGCGTATATCAATCATCATCTCTGTTCGTTTATTTTGAATCGAATAGTGCATCATTCGACTCAACGGTAAAGCTATGGGATGCCGAACTCGGCAAGATGCTATGTAGTTTCAACGGTCACAGGTAAACAACTATCTCTTTTCTATTTAAACCGATTTGGCGGTTCAATGGTTATCATTGGTTCTAAGTACTAAAGCTAAATTGTTTGATAACCAATTTGAAGGGAACCGGTTTACTCACTGGCGTTTAGTCCCAACGGGGATTACATAGCGAGTGGGTCTTTGGATAGATCAATACACATATGGTCAATAAAAGAAGGCAAAATCGTGAAGACGTATACCGGAAATGGAGGGATTTTCGAAGTGTGTTGGAATAAAGAAGGTAACAAAATCGCAGCTTGCTTCGCAGATAACTCAGTTTGCATTCTTGACTTCAGAATGTAGTTTTTAAGTGTACTAGTCCTCCTAAAAGTCTCAGTCCAACTCCAAAGCCTTATTTTGTTGTTGCACATATTTATTTATAATACTAAATTCGGAAAATGAAGAAGGCATAATTGTACTTGGAGAGAATATTTTACTATTTTAGGGTAGTGTATTTCAATCATTACATTTGAAATGATTTGTGTTATTCATGTTATCCCTTATGAATTTTAGTTTGTCTTCAAAATCCGGTGATACTCTTTAAGACGTTTATAGTACTTGTCTTTTAAATTCAAAGGTACTTAGTGATAGTCTGATAGATAGTGGAGACAAAGGTACTAAGGTCTCCTCGAGGAGGGCCCGTCGTGGGACGCCACATGATTATC